AGTTATAAGACTTTTAAATATGTGGATTTTAGTGTTATCTTTGGCGCCCCCTAGAACCTAAACCTTGGGGTGCAGCGTCATGATTTTGATAACTTTTAATGGCCACGGGGTGTAGATTGGCCTGAGCAAATGTGGTGCCGGTGGAACGAAAGCCTTCGGAGGAGTTAGCGAAATTCCAATGTGTGCGGATCGGCAAAAAATGCGAAATAACCCTTTAACCGTAATTTTGACAGATACGGCCGCACTGACTTTTTTGTAGATCTTATTGAGATACATATGTGTGTCCATTTTTGTGTCAATATGACAAAGCGTACAGGCGTGACAGTCAATAGTGTGAATTTCCACCTTAGGGGGCGCTATGGAGCCATTTTGCATTTTATTGTTTGGGCGACTTCAGAATATCGAATTTTTCACCAGGCCCGGTCGTCCTGCCAAATTTCATGAGTTTTCGCCAGTGGGAAGTGGGCCATTTTCCAGTTCAAAGGGGAGGAAAAAGAAGAAAGAAAGAAAGAAAGAAAGAAAGAAAGAAAGAAACAAAGAAAAACCACTTGGGGAATAATAGGGCCTACGCCCGGCTGCTCTGCAGCTGGCTCGGGCCCTAATGAAGGAAAAGGCTCTTTGCAGTGATGGGCGTTACCAGAGAGGGCGATGGCCAGAGGACCCGAATGGGACGGGGAGGCAGCGCGTTGGGGGTGGGGGGGCGACACAGCTCGGGCCCGCCAGTGCCCCAACGGGGCCCTAGTTAGGGCCCGAGCCAGCTGCAGAGCAGCCGGGCGTAGAGCCCTATTATTCCCCAAGTGGTTTTTCTTTGTTTCTTTCTTTCTTTCTTTCTTTCTTTAGGGCCCGAGCGTAGCTGCTAAGCAGCTGCGAGAGCCCTCTTGTTCCTGATGGATTCTTCTTTTGTTATTAGGGCCCGAGCGTAGCTGCTAAGCAGCTGCGAGAGCCCTCTTGTTCCTGATGGATTCTTCTTTCGTTATTTTTCCTCCGCTTTAAACTGGAAAATGGCCCACTTCCCACTGGCGAAAACTCAGGAAATTTGGCAGGACGACCGGGCCTGGTGAAAAATTTGATATTCTGAAGTCGCCCAAACAAAAAAATGAAAAATGGCTCCATAGCGCCCCCTATGGTGAAAACTCACCTGACGCCTGTACGCTTTGTCAAAATGACACAAAATTTGACACACATGTGTATCTCAATAAGATCTACAAAAAAGTCAGTGCGGGCGTATCTGTCAAATGTACGGTTAAAGGGCTATTTCGCATTTTTTGCCGATCCGCACACATTGGAATTTCGCTAACTCCTCCGAAGGCTTTCGTTCCACCGGCACCAAATTTGCTCAGGCCAATCTACACCCCATGGCCATTAAAAGTTGTACAAATCATGATGCTGCACCCCACGGTTTACGTTCTAGGGGGCGCCAAAAATAACCCAAAAATCCACATTCTTAAAAGTCTTATAACTTTTTATTTTTGTCCTCACTGGCCTCCAAGTTTTCTAGGATGATGCAATGTCCAGCCATCAACACATTTGTGAAGGAATTTTTACTCGCCAAAAGAGCGCCCCCCCATGGCAGGAGAAAAAAGTCCATTTTTTCTAGTCCCCTAAGGCGAAAATACACATTGTTGAATGTCACGCCTGTACGCTTCGTCATATTGACACAAAATTTGACAATCACGTGTATCTCAATAAGATCTACGAAAGAGTCAATGCGCGCGTATCAGTAAAATGTACGGTTAAAGGGCTATTTCGCATTTTTTGCCGTTTCGCACACATTGGAATGTGGCTAACTCCTCCTAAGGCTTTCGTCCCACTGACACCAAATTTGCTCAGGCCAATCTACACTCCATGGCCATTCAAAGTTGTAAAAATCATGACGCTGCACCCCACGGTCTATGTTCTAGGGGGCGCCAAAGATAACCAAAAAATCCACATTCTTAAAAGTCTTATAACTTTTTATTTTTTTCCTCACTGGCCTCCAAGCTCTCTAGGATGATGCAATGTCCAGCCATCAACACATTTGTGAAGGAATTTTTACTCCCCAAAAGAGCGCCCCCCCATGGCAGGAGAAAAAAGTCAATTTTTTCTTGTCCCCTAAGGTAAAAATACACATTGTTGAGTGTCACGCCTATACACTTTGTCATATTGACAGACAATTTGACAATCACGTGTATCTCAATAAGATCTACAAAAAAGTCAATAGGCACGTATATGTCAAATGTACGGTTAAAGGGCTATTTCGCATTTTTTGCCGATTCGCACACATTGGAATGTGGCTATCTCCTCCTAAGGCTTTCGTCCCACTGATACCAAATTTGCTCAGGGCAATCTACACCCCATGCCCATTCAAAGTTGTAAAAATCATGCCGCTGCACCCCACGGTTTACGTTCTAGGGGGCGCCAAAGATGACCCAAAAATCCACATTCTTAAAAGTCTTTTTGGTCACTGCAGGAGTACAGAGTACTGCAAGATACACACACATACACACACACACACACACACACACACACACACACACACACACACACACACTCAGAGTCTGTTTTTTAGCACCTGCAAAAACATGCTGTTTACATATTTGACAAGAATGCAGAGGCTTCCTTTTGCCCCTGAAAAAAATCAAATTTCAAACACAACTTGACTGTTCATTTCTCCAAATGACAACCATGAAGCTCCATCCAAACCTGAAGCAGGCAGTTGGTGCATGTGTACAGTAACCTGAGGGGAGTGAGGTGACTGCTTCTGAGGAGAACATGAGCAGTGAAGATTCACCTTGGAGCGAGAACAGGGACGTGCACATGATTATGCAGGGGCAGGGGCTCAAGTTTTTTCCAGTCGTTTATACAATATGGAAATTAATGTGAAATTAAAAAACAAAGTATTAATAGAAAGGTAATGACTGTCCTGTGTAGGTGACAGTAATATCCAATAGGCTAGGCACTCACGAGGCTGGCTGTGGCAAGTGTAAGTGAAAGCAACACGCACTGGCAGGAAGAACAGCAAACGCCGATGAAGGAAAAGGGTCTTTGCAGTGATGGGCGTTACCAGAGAGGACGATGGCCAGAGGACGCGAATGGGACGGGGAGGCAGCGCGTTGGGGGGGGGGCGCGACACAGCTCGGGCCCGCCAGTGCCCCAACGGGGCCCTAGTTATTATTTTTCCTCCGCTTTAAACTGGAAAATGGCCCACTTCCCACTGGCGAAAACTCATGAAATTTGGCAGGACGACCGGGCCTGGTGAAAAATTCGATATTCTGAAGTCGCCCAAACAATAAAATGCAAAATGGCTCCATAGCGCCCCCTAAGGTGGAAATTCACACTATTGACTGTCACGTCTGTACGCTTTGTCAAAATGACACAAAAATTGACACACATATGTATCTCAATAAGATCTACAAAAAAGTCAGTGCGGGCGTATCTGTCAAATGTACGGTTAAAGGGTTATTTCGCATTTTTTGCCGATCCGCACACATTGGAATTTCGCTAACTCCTCCGAAGGCTTTCGTTCCACCGGCACCACATTTGCTCAGGCCAGTCTACACCCCATGGCAATTCAAAGTTGTACAAATCATGACGCTGCACCCCACGGTTTACGTTCTAGGGGGCGCCAAAGATAACCCAAAAATCCACATTCTTAAAAGTCTTATAACTTTTTATTTTTGTCCTCACTGCCCTCCAAGTTTTCTAGGATGATGCAATGTCCAGCCATCAACACATTTGTGAAGGAATTTTTACTCCCCAAAAGAGCGCCCCCCCATGGCAGGAGAAAAAAGTCAATTTTTTCTTGTCCCCTTACATGAAAATACACATTGTTGAGTGTCACGCCTGAACGCTTTGTCATATTGACACAAAAATTGACAATCATGTGTATCTCAATTAGATCTACGAAAAAGTCAAAGAGCGCGTATCTGTATAATGTACGGTTAAAGGGCTATTTCGCATTTTTTGCCGATTCGCACACATTGGAATGTGGCTATCTCCTCCTAAGGCTTTCGTCCCACTGATACCAAATTTGCTCAGGCCAATCTACACCCCATGCCCATTCAAAGTTGTAAAAATCATGACGCTGCACCCCACGGTTTACGTTCTAGGGGGCGCCAAAGATGACCCAAAAATCCACATTCTTAAAAGTCATTTTGGCCACTGCAGGAGTACAGAGTACTGCAGTTCTAGTTGGCGCCAAAGATGACCCAAAAATCCACATTCTTAAAAGTCATTTTGGCCACTGCAGGAGTACAGAGTACTGCAGTTCTAGGGGGCGCCAAAGATGACCCAAAAATCCACATTCTTAAAAGTCTTTTTGGCCACTGCAGGAGTACAGAGTACTGCAGGATACACACACATATACACACACGCCAACACACACACACACACACACACACACACTCAGAGTCTGTTTTTTAGCACCTGCAAAAACATGCTGTTTACATATTTGACAAGAATGCAGAGGCTTCCTTTTGCCCCTGAAAAAAATCAAATTTCAAACACAACTTGACTGTTCATTTCTCCAAAAGACAACCATGAAGCTCCATCCAAACCTGAAGCAGATAGTTGGTGCATGTGTACAGTAACCTGAGGGGAGTGAGGTGACTATTTCTGAGGAGAACATGAGCAGTGAAGATTCACCTTGGAGCTAGAACAGGGACGTGCACATGATTATACAGGGGCAGGGGCTCAAGTTTTTTCCAGTCATTTATACAATATGGAAATTAATGTGAAATTAAAAAACAAAGTATTAATAGAAAGGTTATGACTGTCCTGTGTAGATGACAGTGATATCCAATAGGCTAGGCACTCACGAGGCTGGCTGTGGCAAGTGTAAGTGAAAGCAACACGCACTGGCAGGAAGAACAGCAAACGCCGATGAAGGAAAGGGTCTTTGCAGTGATGGGCGTTACCAGAGAGGACGATTGCCAGAGGACGCGAATGGGACGGGGAGGCAGCGCGTTGGGGGGGGCAGCGCGACACGGCTCGGGCCCGCCAGTGCCCCAACGGGGCCCTAGTTATTATTTTTCCTCCGCTTTAAACTGGAAAATGGCCCACTTCCCACTGGCGAAAACTCAGGAAATTTGGCAGGACGACCAGGCCTGGTGAAAAATTCGATATTCTGAAGTCGCCCAAACAATAAAATGCAAAATGGCTCCATAGCGCCCCCTAAGGTGAAAATTCACACTATTGACTGTCACGCCTGTACGCTTTGTCATATTGACACAAAAATTGACACACACATGTATCTCAATAAGATCTACAAAAAAGTCAGTGCGGGCGTATCTGTCAAATGTACGGTTAAAGGGTTATTTTGCATTTTTTGCAGATCTGCACACATTGGAATTTCGCTAACTCCTCCGAAGGCTTTCGTTCCACCGGCACCACATTTGCTCAGGCCAATCTACACTCCATGGCCATTCAAAGTTGTACAAATCATAATGCTGCACCCCATGGTTTAGGTTCTAGGGGGCGCCAAAAATAACCCAAAAATCCACATTCTTAAAAGTTTTATAATTTTTTTTTTGTCCTCACTGGCCTCCAAGTTTTCTAGGATGATGCAATGTCCAGCCATCAACACATTTGTGAAGGAATTTTTACTCCCCAAAAGAGCGCCCCCCCATGGCAGGACAAAAAAGTCCATTTTTTCTTGTCCCCTAAGGTGAAAATACACATTGTTGAGTGTCACGCCTGTACGCTTTGTCGTATTGACAAAAAATTTGACACACACGTGTATCTCAATAAGATCTACGAAAAAGTCAATGGGCGCGTATCTGTAAAATGTACGGCTAAAGGGCTATTTTGCATTTTTTGCCGATTCTCACACATTGGAATGTGGCTAACTCCTCCTAAGGCTTTCGTCCCACTGACACCAAATTTGCTCAGGCCAATCTACACCCCATGGCCATTCAAAGTTGTAAAAATCATGCCACTGCACCCCATGGTTTACGTTCTAGGGGGCGCCAAAGATGACCCAAATATCCACATTCTTAAAAGTCGTTTTGGCCACTGCAGGAGTACAGAGTACTGCAGGATACACACACACAGACACACACACACACACACACACACACACAAACACACACACACACACACACACACACACACACACTCAGAGTCTGTTTTTTAGCACCTGCAAAAACATGCTATTTACATATTTGACAACAATGCAGAGGCTTCCTTTTGCCCCTGAAAAAAATCAAATTTCTAACACAACTTGACTGCTCATTTCTCCAAAAGACAACCATGAAGCTCCATCCAAACCTGAAGCAGGCAGTTGGTGCATGTGTACAGTAACCTGAGGGGAGTGAGGTGACTGCTTCTGAGGAGAACATGAGCAGTGAAGATTCACCTTGGAGCGAGAACAGGGACGTGCACATGATTATACAGGGGCAGGGGCTCAAGTTTTTTCCAGTCGTTTATACAATATGGAAATTAATGTGAAATTAAAAAACAAAGTATTAATAGAAAGGTAATGACTGTCCTGTGTAGGTGACAGTGATATCCAATAGGCTAGGCACTCACGAGGCTGGCTGTGGCAAGTGTAAGTGAAAGCAACACGCACTGGCAGGAAGAACAGCAAACGCCGATGAAGGAAAAGGGTCTTTGCAGTGATGGGCGTTACCAGAGAGGACGATGGCCAGAGGACGCAAATGGGACGGGGAGGCAGCGCGTTGGGGGGGGGGGGGTGGCGACACAGCTCGGGCCCGCCAGTGCCCCAACGGGGCCCTAGTTCTTTCTTTCTTCTTTTTCCTCCCCTTTGAACTGGAAAATGGCCCACTTCCCACTGGCGAAAACTCATGAAATTTGGCAGGACAACCGGGCCTGGTGAAAAATTTGATATTCTGAAGTCGCCAAAACAATAAAATGCAAAATGGCTCCATAGCGCCCCCTAAGGTGGAAATTCACACTATTGACTGTCACGCCTGTACGCTTTGTCATATTGACACAAAAATTGACACACATATGTATCTCAATAAGATCTACAAAAAAGTCAGTGCGGCCGTATCTGTCAAAATTACGGTTAAAGGGTTATTTCGCATTTTTTGCCGATCCGCACACATTGGAATTTCGCTAACTCCTCCGAAGGCTTTCGTTCCACCGGCACCACATTTGCTCAGGCCAATCTACACCCCGTGGCCATTAAAAGTTATCAAAATCATGACGCTGCACCCTAAGGTTTAGGTTCTAGGGGGCGCCAAAGATAACACTAAAATCCACATATTTAAAAGTCTTATAACTTTTTATTTTTGTCCTCACTGGCCTCCAAGTTTTCTAGGATGATGCAATGTCCAGCCATCAACACATTTGTGAAGGAATTTTTACTCCCCAAAAGAGCGCCCCCACATGGCAGGAGAAAAAAGTCAATTTTTTCTTGTCCCCTAAGGTGAAAATACACATTGTTGAGTGTCACGCCTATACGCTTTGTCAAAATGACACAAAAATTGACACACACATGTAACTCAATAAGATCTACGAAAAAGTCAATGCGCGCGTATCTGTCAAATGTACGGTTAAAGGGTTATTCCGCATTTTTTGCCGATCCGCACACATTGGAATGTGGCTAACTCCTCCTAAGGCTTTCGTTCCACCGGCACCACATTTGCTCAGGCCAATCTACACCCCATGGCCATTAAAAGTTATTCAAATCATGACGCTGCACCCCACGGTTTAGGTTCTAGGGGGCGCCAAAGACAACCCTAAAATCCACATATTTAAAAGTCTTATAACTTTTTATTTTTGTCCTCACTGGCCTCCAAGTTTTCTAGGATGATGCAATGTCCAGCCATCAACACATTTGTGAAGGAATTTTTACTCCCCAAAAGAGCGCCCCCCCATGGCAGGAGAAAAAAGTCCATTTTTTCTTGTCCCCTAAGGTGAAAATACATATTGTTGAGATTCACGCCTATACGCTTTGTCATAATGACACAAAATTTGACAATCACGTGCCTTGCCTGGTATCATTTTTTTTCAGCACAACCTCACCTGTGCGAATTTACAGTTATTTTATCATGTTGACATACTGAATTTACACAATGGACCCAAATTCACACACAAAACATAAAATCCGAGTGGAAAAAAGTAACATTTTTACTGTGAAAACCACAAATATGTGTGATGAACTGTTTTTAAAACTTAAACTTCAAATAAAAATTGTAAACTTCAAAACATATGCAAATTTTTAACAAAGAACATAGTGATTTACTTCTATTTACATCAAAATGCAGGCAATGGCCCAGGCGTTCTTTGTAAAATTATTTACAAAACACTGTATAGTCTCACAAATGTCACTTTTTATTTATGCCACTGCAAAAAAACATGATGTAAATGATGCATGATGTAAAACATGATGTAAAAAACTTGTGTAGATCCTCCTCTATGTCAGTCCATGTGTAATTTTTCCATAATTCTTTGTTTTTTGCAGCATTTTTGTTAGTGTAACTGCAGATTGTGCTGACAGTGTCTATGGCACAAAAAAAAAAAAAAATTAAAATGCCTCAACATGAACCCCTGGTGGTCTCTGAGGGTGAAACCTGCTAACTGCTGCAGCTCTGTCAGCTTCAGTCTCCCATGCAGAGCTCTGAGCGCATGTGTGGCTCTGCAGCCTTAGCAGCGTTGCTAACTCCTCAGTAAGGAAAGCCTGCTTCATGTCAGAGTCTCTAAACTCCAGAAGAAGTCGATAAAAGTCCCTTTCTTTCTAAAAAGTCGTTAGGGGGTCTGAAAAGTCATTGAATCTAACAACAAAGTCGCTAGGTTTGCAACTACGTGTCCCAGACTGCATCCCTGCTGAGAGTCCCTCCCTCCCTTCTCATGTTGCAGGAAGAACGTAAGCACCCTCCCCTTGTCAATCAGTCACCATATAATTTTGGATTGGTTGTTGTGGTGAAGTTTTCCACCAATAGGAGAGATGTTGTGGTGTGTTTTTTTTTTCTTTTGGCAAGCCTTTTCCGCCTGTAAGACCTGTCGCTAATGTCTGCATGCTATGTTTTCCTGTCTCATACAGCGCGATCGAGCGCCGAACGTGATCAAAATAAGCAGAAAACAAGTATCGCGGACATAATTTATCATAACTCTGGTTTTATTTGGCCTATCAACACAATTTAAAAACTGGTATATAGGTTGAGGTCCTCACTTTTGAGATAAGTTGAAACGGAGAGTCAACGAGGCTCCGTCTTGCAGCTACATCCGGTTAAATATGTCATGTGACTTGAACGCACACACAGACACACACACACGCACACACACACACACACACACTCAGAGTCTGGTTTTTAGCACCTGCAAAAACATGCTATTTACATATTTGACAAGAATGCAGAGGCTCCTTTTGCCCCTGAAAAAATCAAATTTCAAACACAACTTGACTGGTCATTTCTCCAAAAGACAACCATGAAGCTCCATCCAAACCTGAAGCAGGCAGTTGGTGCATGTGTACAGTAACCTGAGGGGAGTGAGGTGAGTGCTTCTGAGGAGAACATGAGCAGTGAAGATTCACCTTGGAGCTAGAACAGAGACATGCACATGATTATACAGGGGCAGGGGCTCAAGTTTTTTCCAGTCGTTTATACAATATGGAAATTAATGTGAAATTAAAACACAAAGTATTAATAGAAAGGTAATGACTGTCCTGTGTAGGTGACAGTGATATCCAATAGGCTAGGCACTCACGAGGCTGGCTGTGGCAAGTGTTAGTGAAAGCAACACGCACTGGCAGGAAGAACAGCAAACGCCGATGAAGGAAAAGGGTCTTTGCAGTGATGGGCGTTACCAGAGAGGGCGATGGCCAGAGGACACAAATGGGACGGGGAGGCAGCACGTTGGGGGGGGGGACGCGACACGGCTCGGGCCCGCCAGTGCCCCAACGGGGTCCTAGTTCTTCTTCTTTAGGGCCCGAGCCAGCTGCAGAGCAGCCGGGCGTAGAGCCCTATTATTCCTGTATAGGTTTTTCTTTCTTCTTTCTTTCTTTCTTTCTTTAGGGCCCGAGCGTAGCTGCTAAGCAGCTGCGAGAGCCCTCTTGTTCCTGATGGATTCTTCTTTTGTTATTATTATTATTTTTCCTCCGCTTTAAACTGGAAAATGGCCCACTTCCCACTGGCGAAAACTCATGAAATTTGGCAGGACGACCGGGCCTGGTGAAAAATTCGATATTCTGAAGTCGCCCAAACAAGAAAATGCAAAATGGCTCCATAGCGCCCCCTAAGGTGAAAATTCACACTATTGACTGTCACGCCTGTACGCTTTGTCATATTGACACAAAAATTGACACACACATGTATCTCAATAAGATCTACAAAAAAGTCAGTGCGGGCGTATCTGTCAAATGTACGGTTAAAGGGTTATTTTGCATTTTTTGCAGATCCGCACACATTGGAATTTCGCTAACTCCTCCGAAGGCTTTCGTTCCACCGGCACCACATTTGCTCAGGCCAATCTACACTCCATGGCCATTCAAAGTTGTACAAATCATAATGCTGCACCCCATGGTTTAGGTTCTAGGGGGCGCCAAAAATAACCCAAAAATCCACATTCTTAAAAGTTTTATAAATTTTTTTTTTGTCCTCACTGGCCTCCAAGTTTTCTAGGATGATGCAATGTCCAGCCATCAACACATTTGTGAAGGAATTTTTACTCCCCAAAAGAGCGCCCCCCCATGGCAGGAATAAAAAGTCCATTTTTTCTTGTCCCCTAAGGTGAAAATACACATTGTTGAGTGTCACGCCTGTACGCTTTGTCGTATTGACAAAAAATTTGACACACACGTGTATCTCAATAAGATCTACGAAAAAGTCAATGGGCGCGTATCTGTAAAATGTACGGCTAAAGGGCTATTTTGCATTTTTTGCCGATTCGCACACATTGGAATGTGGCTAACTCCTCCTAAGGCTTTCGTCCCACTGACACCAAATTTGCTCAGGCCAATCTACACCCCATGGCCATTCAAAGTTGTAAAAATCATGCCGCTGCACCCCATGGTTTACGTTCTAGGGGGCGCCAAAGATGACCCAAATATCCACATTCTTAAAAGTCGTTTTGGCCACTGCAGGAGTACAGAGTACTGCAGGATACACACACACAGACACACACACACACAGACACACACACACACACACACACACACACACTCAGAGTCTGTTTTTTAGCACCTGCAAAAACATGCTATTTACATATTTGACAACAATGCAGAGGCTTCCTTTTGCCCCTGAAAAAAATCAAATTTCTAACACAACTTGACTGCTCATTTCTCCAAAAGACAACCATGAAGCTCCATCCAAACCTGAAGCAGGCAGTTGGTGCATGTGTACAGTAACCTGAGGGGAGTGAGGTGACTGCTTCTGAGGAGAACATGAGCAGTGAAGATTCACCTTGGAGCGAGAACAGGGACGTGCACATGATTATACGGGGGCAGGGGCTCAAGTTTTTTCCAGTCGTTTATAGAATATGGAAATTAATGTGAAATTAAAAAACAAAGTATTAATAGAAAGGTAATGACTGTCCTGTGTAGGTGACAGTGATATCCAATAGGCTAGGCACTCACAAGGCTGGCTGTGGCAAGTGTAAGTGAAAGCAACACGCACTGGCAGGAAGAACAGCAAACGCCGATGAAGGAAAAGGGTCTTTGCAGTGATGGGCGTTACCAGAGAGGACGATGGCCAGAGGACGCGAATGGGACGGGGAGGCAGCGCGTTGGGGGGGGGGGGGGGGCGACACAGCTCGGGCCCGCCAGTGCCCCAACGGGGCCCTAGTTCTTCTTATTTTTCCTCCCCTTTGAAGGGGAAAATGGCCCACTTCCCACTGGCGAAAACTCATGAAATTTGGCAGGACGACCGGGCCTGGTGAAAAATTCGATATTCTGAAGTCGCCCAAACAATAAAATGCAAAATGGCTCCATAGCGCCCCCTAAGGCGAAAATACACATTGTTGACTGTCACGCCTTTACGCTTTGTCAAAATGACACAAAATTTGACACACACATGTATCTCAATAAGATCTACAAAAAAGTCAGTGCGGGCGTATCTGTGAAATGTACGGTTAGAGGGTTATTTCGCATTTTTTGCCGATCCGCACACATTGGAATTTCGCTAACTCCTCCGAAGGCTTTCGTTCCAACGGCACCACATTTGCTCAGGCCAATCTACACCCCATGGCCATTAAAAGTTGTACAAATCATGACGCTGCACCCCACGGTTTACGTTCTAGGGGGCGCCAAAGATAACCCAAAAATCCACAGTCTTAAAAGTCTTATAACTTTTTATTTTTGTCCTCACTGGCCTCCAAGTTCTCTAGGATGATGCAATGTCCAGCCATCAACACATTTGTGAAGGAATTTTTACTCCCCAAAAGAGCGCCCCCACATGGCAGTAGAAAAAAGTCCATTTTTTCTTGTCCCCTAAGGTGAAAATACACATTGTTGAGTGTCACGCCTATACGCTTTGTCATATTGACACAAAATTTGAGAATCACGTGTATCTCAATAAGATCTACGAAAAAGTCAGTGCGGGCGTATCTGTCAAATGTACGGTTAAAGGGTTATTTCGCATTTTTTCCCGATCCGCACACATTGGAATTTCGCTAACTCCTCCGAAGGCTTTAGTTCCACCGCCACCAAATTTGCTCAGGCCAATCTACACCCCATGGCCATTAAAAGTTGTACAAATCATGACGCTGCACTCCACGGTTTAGGTTCTAGGGGGCGCCAAAGATAACCCAAAAATCCACATTCTTAATAGTCTTATAACTTTTTATTTTTGTCCTCACTGGCCTCCAAGTTTTCTAGGATGATGCAATGTCCAGCCATCAACACATTTGTAAAGGAATTTTTACTCCCGAAAAGAGCGCCCCCCCATGGCAGGAGAAAAAAGTCCATTTTTTCTTGTCCCCTAAGGTGAAAAAACACATTGTTGACTGTCACGCCTATACGCTTGGTCAAAATGACACAAAATTTGACACACACGTGTATCTCAATAAGATCTACGAAAAAGTCAATGGGCACGTATCTGTAAAATGTACGGTTAAAGGGCTATTTCGCATTTTTTGCCGATTCGCACACATTGGAATGTGGCTAACTCCTCCTAAGGCTTTTGTTCCACCAGCACCAAATTTGCTCAAGCCGATCTACATCCCATGGCCATTCAAAGTTGTAAAAATCATGCCGCTGCACCCCATGGTTTACGTTCTAGGGGGCGCCAAAGATGACCCAAATATCCACATTCTTAAAAGAATCCACATCCCCCCCCCCCCCAAGGCAGGAGAAAAAGTCCAGTTAACCCTGCCCATCGCTCAATGGCTCAATCGCATCGCTCTCCTGGCAACACCGCAAGGAGGAGCAACTTGCCATTTGGATATATCCTAGCTGTGTTTGTGCCCTCACTCATGGTCCAGACTTTTTTCAAATAGGACATGTAGTTTGTCTGCAGCGACCGTTTTGGTAGAAACTGCGCCTCCCATTCATTATAATGGGAAATGACCACAGACAAGTGCGCACACCATCTTTGGACCTTGAGTGTGATGCGATCGGGAGGGGGAGGCAGTCGTGCTGGGGGCGGCGCAACGTGGCTCGGGCCCGACAGTGCCCCACCGGGGCCCTAGTCTTCTTATTAGGGCCCGAGCGTAGCTGCTAAGCAGCTGCGAGAGCCCTCTTGTTCCTGCATGTTTCCTTCTTTCGTTATTAGGGCCCGAGCGTAGCTGCTAAGCAGCTGCGAGAGCCCTATTATTCCTGATGGATTCTTCTTTCTTCTTCTTCTTCTTATTATTTTTCTGCCCCTTTGAACTGGAAAATGGCCCACTTCCCACTGGTGAAAACTCATGAAATTTGGCAGGACGACCGGGCCTGGTGAAAAATTCGATATTCTGAAGTCATCCAAACAATCAAATGCAAAATGGCTCCATAGCGCCCCCTAAGGTGAAAAATTCACATGATTGAGTGTCACGCCTGTACGCTTTGTCAAAATGACACAAAATTTGACACACACGTGTATCTCAATAAGATCTACAAAAAAGTCAGTGCGGGCGTATCTGTCAAATGTACGGTTAAAGGGTTATTTCGCATTTTTTGCCGATCCGCACACATTGGAATTTCGCTAACTCCTCCGAAGGCTTTCGTTCCACCGGCACCACATTTGCTCAGGCCAATCTACACCCCATGGCCATTAAAAGTTGTACAAATCATGACGCTGCACCCCACGGTTTACGTTCTAGGGGGCGCCAAAGATAACCCAAAAATCCACAGTCTTAAAAGTCTTATAACTTTTTATTTTTGTCCTCACTGGCCTCCAAGTTCTCTAGGATGATGCAATGTCCAGCCATCAACACATTTGTGAAGGAATTTTTACTCGCCAAAGAGCGCCCCCCCATGGCAGGAGAAAAAAGTCCATTTTTTCTTGTCTCCTAAGGCGAAAATTCACACTATTGAGTGTCACGCCTATACGCTTTGTCATATTGACACAAAAATTGACACACACATGTATCTCAATAAGATCTACAAAAAAGTCAGTGCGGGCGTATCTGTCAAATGTACGGTTAAAGGGCTATTTCGCATTTTTTGCCGATCCGCACACATTGGAATTTCGCTAACTCCTCCGAAGGCTTTCGTTCCAAAGGCACCACATTTGCTCAGGCCAATCTACACCCCATGGCCATTCAAAGTTGTACAAATCATGACGCTGCACCCCACGGTTTACGTTCTAGGGGGCGCCAAAGATAACCCAAAAATCCACAGTCTTAAAAGTCTTATAACTTTTTATTTTTGTCCTCACTGGCCTCCAAGTTCTCTAGGATGATGCAATGTCCAGCCATCAACACATTTGTGAAGGAATTTTTACTCGCCAAAGAGCGCCCCCCCATGGCAGGAGAAAAAAGTCCATTTTTTCTTGTCTCCTAAGGCGAAAATTCACACTATTGAGTGTCACGCCTATACGCTTTGTCATATTGACACAAAAATTTGACACACACATGTATCTCAATAAGATCTACAAAAAAGTCTGTGCGGGCGTATCTGTCAAATGTACGGTTAAAGGGCTATTTCGCATTTTTTGCCGATACGCACACATTGGAATTTCGCTAACTCCTCCGAAGGCTTTCGTTCCAAAGGCACCACATTTGCTCAGGCCAATCTACACCCCATGGCCATTAAAAGTTGTACAAATCATGACGCTGCACCCCACGGTTTACGTTCTAGGGGGCGCCAAAGATAACCCAAAAATCCACAGTCTTAAAAGTCTTATAACTTTTTATTTTTGTCCTCACTGGCCTCCAAGTTCTCTAGGATGATGCAATGTCCAGCCATCAACACATTTGTGAAGGAATTTTTACTCGCCAAAAGAGCGCCCCCCCCATGGCAGGAGAAAAAAGTCCATTTTTTCTTGTCTCCTAAGGCGAAAATACACATTGTTGACTGTCACGCCTTTACGCTTTGTCAAAATGACACAAAATTTGACACACACATGTATCTCAATAAGATCTACGAAAAAGTCAATGTGAGCGTATCTGTTCAATGTACGGTTAAAGGGCTATTTCGCATTTTTGGCCGATTCGCACACATTGGAATGTGGCTAACTCCTCCTAAATCTTTTGTCCCATCGGCTTCAAATTTGCTCAGGTCAATCTACACCCCATGGCCATTCAAAGTTGTACAAATCATGACGCTGCACCCCACAGTTTACGTTCTAGGGGGCGCCAAAGAGGACCCAAATATCCACATTTTTAAAAGTCTTATAACTTTTTATTTTTGTCCTCACTGGCCTCCAAGTTTTCTAGGATGATGCAATGTCCAGCCATCAACACATTTGTGAAGGAATTTTTTCTCCCCAAAAGAGCGCCCCCCCATGGCAGGAGAAAAAGTCAAGTTTTCCTGCCCATCGCTCAATGGCTCAAACGCATCGCTCTCTCGGCAAAACCGAAAGGAGGAGCAACTTGCCATTTGGATATATACTAGCTGTGTTTGTGCCCTCACTCATGGTCCAGACTTTTTTCAAAAAGGACATGGAGTTTGTCTGCAGCGAGCGTTTTGGTAGAAACTGCGCCTCCCATTCATTATAATGGTAAATGACCACAGACAAGTGCGCACACCATCTTTGGACCTTGAGTGTGACGCGATTGGGAGGGGTAGGCAGTCGCGCTGGGGGCGGCACGACACGGCTCGGGCCCGCCAGTGCCCCAACGGGGCCCTAGTTATTTTTCCTCCGCTTTAAACTGGAAAATGGCCCACTTCCCACTGGCAAAAACTCAGGAAATTTGGCAGGACGACCGGGCCTGGTGAAAAATTCGATGTTCTGAAGTCGCCCAAACAATAAAATGCAAAATGGCTCCATAGCGCCCCCTAAGGTGAAAATTCACATGACGGCTGTACGCTTTGTCATATTGACACAAAAATTGACACACACATGTATCTCAATAAGATCTACAAAAAAGTCAGTGCGGGCGTATCTGTCAAATGTACGGTTAAAGGGTTATTTCGCATTTTTTGCCGATCCGCACACATTGGAATTTCGCTAACTCCTCTGAAGGCTTTCGTTCGACCGGCACCACATTTGCGCAGGCCAATCTACCCCCCATGGCCATTAAAAGTTGTACAAATCATGACGCTGCACCCCACGGTTTACGTTCTAGGGGGCGCCAAATATAACCCTAAAATCCACATATTTCAAAGTCTTATAACTTTTTATTTTTGTCCTCACTGGCCTCCAAGTTCTCTAGGATGATGCAATGTCCAGCCATCAACACATTTGTGAAGGAATTTTTACTCCCCAAAAGAGCGCCCCCCCATGGCAGGAGAAAAAAGTCCATTTTTTCTTGTCCCCTAAGGTGAAAATTCACATTGTTGAGTGTGACACCTGTACGCTTTGTCATATTGACACAAAATTTGACAATCACGTGTATCTCAATAAGATCTACGAAAAAGTCAATGCGCGCGTATCTGTCAAATGTACGGTTAAAGGGCTATTTTGCATTTTTTGCCGATTCGCACACATTGGAATGTGGCTAACTCCTCCTAAGGCTTTCGTCCCACTGACACCAAATTTGCTCAGGCCAATCTACACCCCATGGCCATTCAAAGTTGTAAAAATCATGACGCTGCACCCCACGGTTTACGTTCTAGGGGGCGCCAAAGATGACCCAAATATCCACATTCTTAAAAGAATCCACATCCCCCACCCCTCCCCCCCCCATCCCCCATACCCCATTCCCCATGGCAGGAGAAACAGTCAAGTTTTTCCTGCCCATCACTCAATGGCTCAATCGCATCGCTCTCCCGGCAACACCGTAACGAGGAGCAACTTGCCGTTTGGATATATCCTAGCTGTGTTTGTGCCCTCACTCATGGTCCAGACTTTTTTCAAATAGGACATGTAGTTTGTCTGCAGCAAGTGTTTTGGTAGAAACTGCGCCTCCCATTCATTATAATGGGAAATGACCACAGACAAGTGCGCACACCATCTTTGGACCTTGAGTGTGACGCGATCGGGAGGGGGAGGGGGTCGCGCTGGGGGCGGCGCAACGCGGCTCGGGCCCGACAGTGCCCCACCGGGGCCCTAGTTATTTTTCTGCCCCTTTGAACTGGAAAATGGCCCACTTCCCACTGGTGAAAAGTCATGAAATTTGGCAGGACGACCGGGCCTGGTGAAAAATTCGATATTCTGAAGTCGCCCAAAAAATCAAATGCAAAATGGCTCCATAGCGCCCCCTAAGGTGAAAAATTCACATGATTGAGTGTCACGCCTGTACGCTTTGTCAAAATGACACAAAATTTGACACACACGTGTATCTCAATAAGATCTACAAAAAAGTCAGTGCGGGCGTATCTGTCAAATGTACGGTTAAAGGTTTATTTCGCATTTTTTGCCGATCTGCACACATTGGAATTTCGCTAACTCCTCCGAAGGTTTTCGTTCCACCGGCACCACATTTGCTCAGGCCAATCTACACCCCATGGCCAATAAAAGTTGTACAAATCATGACGCTGCACCCCACGGTTTACGTTCTAGGGGGCGCCAAAGATAACCCAAAAATGCACAGTCTTAAAAGTCTTATAACTTTTTATTTTTGTCCTCACTGGCCTCCAAGTTCTCTAGGATGATGCAATGTCCAGCCATCAACACATTTGTGAAGGAATTTTTACTCGCCAAAAGAGCGCCCCCCCATGGCAGGAGAAAAATGTCCATTTTTTCTTGTCTCCTAAGGCGAAAATACACATTGTTGACTGTCACGCCTTTACGCTTTGTCAAAATGACACAAAATTTGACACACACATGTATCTCAATAAGATCTACAAAAAAGTCAGTGCGGGCGTATCTGTCAAATGTACGGTTAAAGGGTTATTTCGCATTTTTTGCCGATCCGCACACATTGGAATTTCGCTAACTCCTCTGAAGGCTTTCGTTCCAACGGCACCACATTTGCTCAGGCCAATCTACACCCCATGGCCATTAAAAGTTGTACAAATCATGACGCTGCACCCCACGGTTTACGTTCTAGGGGGCGCCAAAGATAACCCAAAAATCCACAGTCTTAAAAGTCTTATAACTTTTTATTTTTGTCCTCACTGGCCTCCAAGTTCTCTAGGATGATGCAATGTCCAGCCATCAACACATTTGTGAAGGAATTTTTACTCGCCAAAAGAGCGCCCCCCCATGGCAGGAGAAAAAAGTCCATTTTTTCTTGTCTCCTAAGGCGAAAATACACATTGTTGACTGTCACGCCTTTACGCTTTGTCAAAATGACACAAAATTTGACACACACATGTATCTCAATAAGATCTACGAAAAAGTCAATGCGAGCGTATCTGTTCAATGTACGGTTAAAGGGCTATTTCGCATTTTTTGCCGATTCGCAAACATTGGAATGTGGCTAACTCCTCCTAAAGCTTTTGTCCCATCGGCTTCAAATTTGCTCAGGTCAATCTACACCCCATGGCCATTAAAAGTTGTACAAATCATGACGCTGCACCCCACGGTTTACGTTCTAGGGGGTGCCAAAGAGGACCCAAATATCCACATTTTTAAAAGTCTTATAACTTTTTATTTTTGTCCTCACTGGCCTCCAAGTTTTCTAGGATGATGCAATGTCCAGCCATCAACACATTTGTGAAGGAATTTTTTCTCCCCAAAAGAGCGCCCCCCCATGGCAGGAGAAAAAGTCAAGTTTTTCCTGCCCATCGCTCAATGGCTCAAACGCATCGCTCTCTCGGCAAAACCGAAAGGAGGAGCAACTTGCCATTTGGATATATCCTAGCTGTGTTTATGCCCTCACTCATGGTCCAAACTTTTTTCAAAAAGGACATGGAGTTTGTCTGCAGCGAGCATTTTGGTAGAAACTGCGCCTCCCATTCATTATAATGGTAAATGACCACAGACAAGTGCGCACACCATCTTTGGACCTTGAGTGTGACGCGATCAAGAGGGGTAGGCGGTCGCGCTGGGGGCGGCGCGACACGGCTCGGGCCCGCCAGTGCCCCAACGGGGCCCTAGTCCTATTCTTGCTTCCACAGTTTTGGAAAATAACCACTGCACTTTTAAATAGCATGATTTACTTGAGAAAACTCCTTGTCTGACTCACAAATTCTCACAAGTATATCCACTTTGTGTCAAATAAATTAGTTTGAGCAAAGCATAGTTGCAGGTAAATATAACAGTATTGGACATTTCCTCTGCTTTCTTGCTCCATTTTTCCTCCTTTTATATTTTTTACAAAAGCTAGATTACAAAATGAACTGGCCTGGAAAGGTTCATCCAGGGAGCAATGAGGTTCAGTAGCAACATAATGTGACAGACTGTGGTTGTTCTTAGGCTGTACATGTTGTTGCTGTGTCTGGCTGTCTGTGCACACTTGTGTTCACGCAATAACATTGAAACCATGGCTGTGATTCCACTTTGATGTCCTGTTTGTTAATTATTTAGTACAGGTAGGCAAACCTCAAACACTCAGTTTAAGCTCAGTGATGGCAGCCATAAATGATCGATATGGACACTCGTAGCTCACTTTTTGTTAGGTCAGTTTAAAGCTACATTTTGGTGAATTTTACGTCTTTATTTAATTGCAAAATTTGGTCTCTCTGGACAGGGTTTCTATTTTTGTCAGTTTAAAAAACTTCATCAAATTAAACATGAAAGAAACAGGTTGTTTATTTTACCCCCTTTTTTGTGCACAATGTCCTGCCAGGTTAGCAAATGTAGGTCTAAAAGATTGAGGGGGGACCAATTGAACTTGGCACTCCTTTGTGTGTGTGTGTGTGTGTGTGTGTGTGTGTGTGTGTGTGTGTGTGTGTGTGTGTGTGTGTGTGTGTGTGTTTTGAGGTAGTGTTAAAGGCTAAACTGAGGGAATAGAGGACAGGACAAAGGACAGAGGAGGCTGAGACCTTTATAGACAACCATGTGTATTTTCCGGTTCATCTTTATGAGTCTGTAGGTGTGTGTTTTTGCTCACATCACGAGTCTCTGTGTGTGCGCCTGTGTGTCTGTGTGCGTGTGTGGGGGTGTGAGGCCAGACGTCAGTATTGACAATAGCCTGTTGAGACCTGGGAGGAGACTGGCTTCGTTAAAAGAGGCCTTGAACAAACAGAATAGAGACGGAAGGATAGACGAAAAGTGGGAGGGATGGGTGCTAGGGCACGTTTGTTGGGGGGTTAAAGTCTGAAAACAAAGAAATGTTACAGATAGCTGAAATATGTATTTTAATGGTTCAAGGGAAATTGTTTCTGGAGGTAGACAAGCCAGGCACAAAGAGGTGTGTAAGTGTAAAAGTGCAGGGAAAGAGGGATAAATGGGAGAGAGGACAAGTGACACAATGACTAATTGGAAGCTAGGAGGGAGAGAGAGAGGGATTACGGAGGTTGTGACTCTACAGGGAGGAGACCGCATAAAGTAGGCTTAAGAAGTCAGAATATGAAACCAGATGATTAAAGACCGAAGAATGGACCGAAACAGAATGGCAGAGAGGGGACAAAAACGGGTGGGGTCATAAAGAGTCATATGAAAGGCAGTTTGGATCAGCTGAACGGATGGACGATAAAGGGAAGGGTTTTAAAGGGGTGGGGGTGTATTTTAGATGAAGGTAGAGTGGATTGAAAGGAAAACCACAGGCTCCTCTGAGCAAAGGTTAGCACTGATGGAGGAGAGAGACAGCGCAGTATAGTGTGTTTGTGCAGGGCTGTTGGACTGATATTTGAGATTTTGTGTATCCATACAGTTCATACTCTAAAGAAAGACTTTTTTTCATGCCCCTCATTTGGAGTGGCAGCCTACCTCTCCGAAGCAAATGTGCAAAATATTTGATCATTGAATTAATATAATATATGTGCACTTGTTTTGATTCTTTGCCATGAGCTTTGTTACATTTGGCTGCACCAACTTATGTATGTGCTATGCTCAAATCGACCGGGGTTCCTACCCAGGGCAGGGCTCGAGGGCTAGATTTCCATTCAGAAGCCATGTTAATTTATCAAAGTTTGG